ACGGCGCTACGGGCACCCGAGTTACTTGTTCCGTGCGTGTAGTGTGTTTGTTGTTTTCTTCGCGAAAGAGGTAAAAAAAAAAAAATCTAGGGGCATCCCGACGCACTTGGAAATAGGTTCTCAGCACTTCTGTTGTCGGTGACGAGCATTTCATTCCCCCAATCGGTGTCACCCCCCCCTTCAGCATGTGGACAAAGAAGCCAGTGCTGCTGTGGTGTTGACGGGTGCACAGGCTGTCTTTTTGCCACATGTGATTTCGTGGCACGTGAGCCAGCAATACAGACGTCACTGACACAAGATGCACATTACGATCACAGCAGAAAAACAACCCTAATCAACTCTAGATTTGAGTATTTTGATGGAGGTTGCATCTGTCGCCAAAGAGACATGTAGAGAACAAGTTCCACAAACACCGCCAAACCGGACCTTGCACAATGCAGGAGAGTACGCGTACGATCGAGAACAACACACTTGTTTGCTTCGTACCCGCTGGCGCTGTCGTCTACCAGCCGGCTAACTAGCGCGCTCCATGCTAATAGTAGACGCACCCACGCATGAGAGCAGCTCTGCCAACCCTCGTGGTAGTTTTGTCGGCAATTCGAATTCGGTGCAGCGTCGGTCGTCTCTGCCTTCGAAATCGCTGTCTGGTTGAGACCGCCTGCTCACCGGCCAAGTTGTACTACGAAGCGTGGTAAACGCAGCTCGTTTTTGCTTGCTAAGTATGTGGCTGCTCACTTCATCCGATCTTGCCACGTTTTATTGGCGGTCCTGACGAGGAAACGGCATCCAATCAGCATGGTGCATGTCTGAGTAGTGCTATGTGGTGCTTGCAAGCTGTGGAAATATCAATTTTGTGCGCAGCAAATGTCTCAGAGAACACCCCCTTTCGATGTGGCCTGATTAACCCCCGTGTCTTTTGTGTTCTCTATGCCTATTCTTCTCCCGCCAATCGCTATATCTTGACGGCGCGTGCGGCGAATGATGACGGCCGGATAATACTTGGATCCATCTTCAACGGGCTCCGACTCGAAAAGGATGTCTTCCTCGTCTGTTTCAGCGTGGTGGACCCCACCAGCTTCCATAACGTGAAGCTCAAGTGGATACCAGAGCTACAGAGTCATGCTCCGGTGAGGATGAGCCAACATAGTCTCTCTCCGGTATACGGTTGTTGTATGCACGCCCGCCGGTGTCTAGCTAATCACGGGTGAATCCTGTGTGTCTTGCTTTTGCGTCGGCGTGTGTGCCGACTTCGGCTTGTGTTGTAGCTAATCTGGCGCCGTTTCATTTGTTATAGCGGTCGCGCTCCCCCTTCCCCGCCCTTGTGTTGGGCTTGCTGACACCGCTAGATTCGAGATGTTTCTGTTTTTATTGCTTAGGCTGTATGAATTAGTGCTGGCCTGTGATTTGACCGTGTTCGACTTGCAACGGCCACACCTCAGGGCATCCCGTTCATCTTGGTGGGGACAAAACTGGACCTGAGGGACGACCAGGACGCCTGCAAGAGGCTGGCAGAGCGGCGGCAGACGCCCGTTAGCTTCAGCGAGGCGCAGGCGCTAGCGTCGGAACTCGACGCGTACCGCTACCTGGAGTGTAGCGCGCTCACACAGCATGGGTTGAAACAGGTGGGTCGTCTGTGTTGACCCCATGGTTGACACCATCGGTGTTTTTTCTTTTTCAGTACGTTGAAGCGCGTTCGAGTTCTTTAATCAGGCGTGGTGCATTGTTTGGGGTGCCATGCTGTGTGCTTGGGTCTGCTTGTAGAGAGACGCCTTTCCCGCCAGAACATGTTGTTTCTTGCAGGTTGATGATACGGAAACTTTATTCCTTCCCTGTATCCGTCTGGCGTGCCTGTGTCGGCATTTGCCCGAATCACAATCGCCACGGCCGAACGATCCGGGCTTTTGTCGGTTCGTCGTGGTGCGGACGGCGACGACAGGTGTTCGACGGGGCCATCCGGTGTGTGCTAGAGCGAAACCAAAGGAAGATGAAGAAGAAGAAGGGCAAGAAGAACTGCGTCATCTCGTGACGCGCGAGTGCGCGCCGTGGTTACGTTTTTTCTTCGGCCGAGTTAACTCGCCTCGCCAGTTTTTGAGGGTTGACGTTCGTCGTCGTGTGTTCCATTGTCAAGACCCGGTCCTCCTACTCGCGGCGCATGAACAAAGGCTGCGGCGAACTGGGGCCCCCCTTGCCCTCTACAGCAGTTGTGGTAGGTTAGGGTAGGCGACCTGGGGGAAGGGTATGGAGGGGAGGACCTGGAAAGATAGACTACGCGTTGTCCACGTAGTCTTGCAGGGTTTCTCGGCGTGGAGAAGCCGTTACTCCTTTCGCACGGTGTTTTCCATCTTGTCATGTACAGATGCGTTTTGGCGCTGTTTGGTCTCTTGAAAGCGGGAGAGAGCCCATGGAGCAGGCGAGATTTGTTTTCTGTGTTCTCGCGCGGTTACGACCCGTCCCTTGTCCCATTTTATTTGGAAACATGTTCCGCCTGTTTTCCCTAAGTGCGCGTGTTCAATCTTGACCTTCCCGAACTCTCAAACGTACTCCAGTGTGGCTTCAGTTGAAAAACGGTACTTTGGGTGTTTTGTTTTCAGCTTTTCGCCCAGGTGCGAAAACGAAGGGAAGATGTCTCTTGTTTTCAACAAAGAAGAGACGGTTCGTTTGGCCGCAGATTACTCCAATCGGTTTTTTTGGGGAGTGGCGCCAAGTTGGGGCGGGGGTGCGGGGTGGGACAGCAAGACCTCTTCCGTTGGTTCACGCTCTTGTCCCTCCGACGTACTGTGCGGGTGGCGCAGCAAGCGCGATAATCTGATCGCTGCTGCTACGTAGTTCACATCATTAGATGGGAAAGGGGGTTGGACGAGAAAGAGGGTCAGTTTTGGTGTGTGCATTGTCGCAGGAGTACAGCAGCAGCGTATGTCCGCTTTCCTAGTTTTTCATGTTTACTGGTATGTCTGCTCCCCTATTTGACATCCGGTTTTCCTCGAACGGCAACGTTCTGGTTTGTCGTTTCAGCGAGCGTGGCGGAGAGAAAGAGACGAGGGTTGTGTATTGGTGTAGCATAGGAAAGACCGGGAAGACTCAAAGCGTCCGTGCCGTGGTGACGGCGGGGTCAGTCTCGAGAGCACCAAAGGAACAAAGGCTAAGCGTTCTCGGCCGGTTGAGAGTCGCATGAGAGACTAGGAGGCCAGGGTAGGGGCTATGTACACACGATGTAGCTGTGTACGGTCGAACCGTCCCGTGGGACGTGTCGTTTCCGGGTGCCCGCACGAGCACTCCCTCGGTGGGACGGGATGACCTCAAAAGTGGGAGCGGGCGCGTTGAGGTGTAAGCAGGCGTTGGCTTTGTAGTTTGACCATGCTTCGCGCACGCGCGGCAGAGAAGAAAAAACGGCGTTGGGCGTAGAGCGAGGAATACTGCTGCGGACTTTTTGGCCAAACACGACGAAAATGCCTCTGTCATGCAGCTTTTTCATTTCCCTTCGTAGTCTTCGGGTTATGTATGACGGATGCGATGGGTACGATTGGCCACAGGATATGCGGCCCTGCCAAGTCTGGTATGGTAAGGAGCGCAGAACATGCAGCAAGCGTTGATTCTTTGGTCTAAGTAGATGATGGTCTGGTTCATTTCACACGCACACTTTCGATGTTGTGATGAAAGCAAATGGCAGACGATATTTTATTCTGTGTTTAAATGTACCCCCCCCCCCCCCCC